TCTCTCTCTCTCCTCTCTCTCCTCTCTCTCCTCTCTCTCTCTCGGTTGTGAATTACTGTTTTATAACTTCCCTTAACCCTAGCATTTACTTGAATAAAAGTTTGGGGGAAGTACTCCAAATACACCTCCATTTCTCAGCTACAGGCAATTCAAGAAGGAATTAAATCTCCAAATACTCCCTCTCTCACACATTAAAATGACCCCTCTCTGCTCTTATTACACATTTTTTTTAATAATCACAGACTATCCAGTGGATATAAAAACTTCACTGACAATCTGAAGCAAAGATCTTCTAGAAACTTCTTGTAGAAAAGCTCAACCTGGCAGAGAAAAAAGGACTGGTGTTTGTATCCCACACTCCTCTCTTAGGCCATCAGGGCTAGCAGTGCTTTTAAGCACGGGCTTTGGCACCCTGCTTAGTACCTCTCCCCAGTCCACATTGCCCAGGAAATAGAATGCCAATGTTCATGTGGCATAATCTGTTTAAATAAAACTTGACTAAATTCTCCACCAAGTGGCTTTATATTAAAAAAATATATACTTGTCTTGACTATTTCCCAGTTTTATTTCATGTCATTCTATCTTTCGAAGGCCTTGACATGTCTTCAATTTTTTTTAGCCTTGAGCTTTGCTCTTCAAGGCAGTTTTCCAGCCATTCCATTACTTATTACATAAAAGATGCCTACAGACCTTTTAGGCTGCGAGCGCTTTTGGTGATCTGCTGTCTCATATCTTCGTCTCTGTTCACTATGTGCCAAGTGCTTCTTCCAGAAGTAAAAAGGATGAGGTAACACTTTCTAGTGGGGGCCCTGGGAACTGTAGACTTGAGGTTTTTGAAACGAAGCACAATTTTTAATTTCATAACCTTTAATGATTATAAATCCTAGTGTTCCCCATTAAGTTTTAATGGGAAAGGACACAGAGTTCAGAAACAGACTCTCAATCTCTACCACGTAGCCAGTATCCTGACTGAAACAGGGCTAGGAGAGGTGTTTTTCTAATTTGTTGCTTCCTCAAGGAGGACTTGCTGTCCTTTTCATACCCGATGCTTGCAGCACGTAACATATATATTTATATAAATGTAGCTGTGCTTTTCTGCAATTGTTAGTAATGTCAAAAGTGAAAGTCCATGGAAAAGTACTACAGTACTCAGGGATTTTTCTGAAGACTCACATTTCCCAAAGGCCATATGCATTTGCTTTTTGTGATGAGATAGGAGGTAGAGACGGGCTTGTCAGTGTAGGGGCAGGAACTCCAAAAGCACCACCCCCAGCAGCGTGGTGCTACTCTGGCCAGTAGAACCAGAGGGGCACCTGGGGTTTGCTGCCCTAGAAGTTGCCCTTTCCTGTGGGCAGCAGGTACACGCAGGACTGAAACTGCAATTCGGAGACAATCCCTCTGGTGAGCAGCTTTAGAATGGGACCCTAGATCTGAAAGTTAAAATGGATTATAGCTACTCCCCAATTTCAACACATCTCCTAAAGGAAGGGGGGGGCGGCGGGACATCACTGATCGTCGTACCCTTGATCAGGGATCCATTGTGACCCATCAAAGGAAAGCTAGTTCTCTGGCCTGGGCAGGAATTTAACATTCAAAATGTAAGGGTTAATCCAGTTGGTTCTGGCTAAGACACCACACCTCAAAGAGGATAGCTCACTTTAAGCCATCCTAGAGAGGAGAGAGTAGTTACTCATTTAAGGAAATAATTTACATTTCCTTCCCAGAATCCCTGCCCCTCTTGCAGGCACTTACTGAACCCAGCTTGTGCTTGGGTTAGGCCTGCCTGCCTTACTGAATTCTATAGAAAAATTTACTTTTCCTTTTTCGTCTCTTTTTCTCTTTTTCCTTTTTTTTGGAAACTTGTCAGAGCTTGGATATGCCTTGCTGAACACTCTGGACTTTCTTTTTCTCTGAAGCTATTCTCCCAACCCTTTCCACATCTGTTATGGATAAATGCTATGCTTTGCTTTCTTTCTCATCCTGCTCCTCCAGGCAGCTGCCAAGATTTGCAGTTTGACTGTCCTGGGGTTTGGAAGGTTTTGTAATGCTAATAAAATTGTCCTATAACTTCCTTCTTAGTTCATTCTTAAATTATTGTATAACAAAACACAAATCCTTGGACAGAGACTGAAAAAACATAGCAGAGTCCCCAATAACATAGGACACCCCAAATGAACATCCCCAAATTCCCAGTAATATTTATGTTTTGGGTTTTATTTTAAAATCAAAAATTGAGTTTCTTATTTTAAAACAAGTCATGGTTTTAGTGTTTTCCTTTTCATAGCAGCACATTCAATGTTTATGTAAATGCTACAGGTGACAGACTGTTCCTATCACTGTACATGTTACACTGAGACGGTGTCGGGAATATTTAAAGAACAATGTCTTTATGAGGATTAATTGGTAGTTATGATCTGGTTAAAGAAACAGATTATAGACAAGGAAATATATTAAGTGCCAGAGCTTGAATTACCTCACTGAGCTACCTCTAAAAATGTTCATTGCAAGCTCTCACAGACTATTAATCACAAGATGGTCTGTCTTCATCGACTGAGAGTTTAAAGTGAATGCTTTTTACATTTATGGTGGGCTTATAATGCAAATTAGATGATTATCTCAGCTCAAATAGTCTATTTTCCCTGCTCATAATTGAAATATCCAAATGTTAAAATAATACATTTATCTTACTTAGGGAAACAACGATACCATTTGAATTCATTCAGTATTCTTTAATAAATCTACATTAATTTTACTAAGATATATTTAGATTTCAAAAAATAGTCTCTTCTTGCATTTCCCATGATTCTATCAGCCTATCTGAAGTGACAGGTGGTGATTTGCTGCATATATGAAAGATTTTCCATATACACGTGTAGATATATGCATATACACATACATAACATACATATATAATAATAGCTAACATTCATGTTGCTATGGTTTAGTTCTTTTTTTTGTTTTGTTTTGTTTTGTTCTATTTTTCGAGACAGGGTTTCTCTGTATAGCCCTGGCTGTCCTGGAACTCACTCGGTAGACCAGGCTGGCCTCGAACTCAGAAATCCACCTGCCTCTGACTCCCAAGTGCTGGGATTAAAGGCATGTGCCACCACTGCCCGGCCATGGTTTAGTTCTTAAGGGTCCCCTGATGTCTTAAAGGACTCATTACCATCCAGGGCATGATCAGGAGGTGGGGGCCAGAGGAAGGAGGCTAGGTCACTGGGTATGTGCTCTTGAAAAGGGCCCTCTGCCTTTCCCCTCTTACTCTTTGCTTTATGGTCAGTATAAGGTGACCAGCTCTGCCCCCATACCTCCTCCACACCACTGTTCTGCCTCAGCATTGGTAGAAACAACGGTGCCAAGCAACCACAGACCAAAGCCTCTACA